TTCCGACTATAAGAACAAAATACTTTTCTCATAAAGAAGGCTTTTGACGAATTACAAATGTTATCTAAAAATATAAAGACCAGTTCGTTGGGTAGCATTTATTCCATATTGAAAAATAGTTTAAATATAACCCCGGAATACTTGCTAAATCCTAATTCTAATATGAAATCAATTATCATAAAGAGACTAAGAATCAAATGTGATGAAATTTGGTTAAACCAAATAAATAATGATAAACCTGATAAAGTGCAAAGAAATAAATTAAGAACTAACATACTTTTTAAGAATGGTAAAGGCCTTGAACATTATTTAAGCTTAGAAAATTGTACAACATTATATGAGTTTACCAAATTTAGAATAAGTGCCCATGACCTTGAAAACGAAAAGGGAAGACACCCAGGTATACCTCCAGATCAAAGATTGTTTAAAAGAGAGGCGAAACTATGTAACAATGACATTGATCAAGACGAAAAATGTATTTTCTACTTCAATGTCCATCTATTAAAGCTGAAAGGTCAAGTTTTATTTCCGATAAATTATCTAAATTTACTAATTTTAGATCTTTAGATGACACATCAAAATTTATATGGTTTATGTCAAATTTAGATCCTTTAGATAATAATATAGTGATAAATTTTTAAATACTTTAATCAGTACTCGAAGAGCCAAGTTAACTAATAAGAAATTAGTGGCCCTCCAGCTCTTTCAACAATTTACAGATTTTTGTTATCTGCACTGTTCAAACTGGGTTTGTTGTCTCCATTTTTATATATTTGTGAAGGTTAAGTTTACTGTTGTTCTCCAATCCAAAAAAAATCGTAATTATTTATTCGCTTTAATTAATTTGCTCTGAATTTTTGGGGCGTCATAATTGACATATAGAAATATTGTATTGTATTTTATTGAATTTATTTTTAAAGCATGAACATGAAATAGAAGATACTTAGACAAGTCAGACAAACTATATATAAAAATAATCCATTTACATATTTAGCTGGTAGCGGGAGACTTGTTCTATTTCAATCTATCAAAATATAATTTTTCGTTCGATTTTGGATGTCGGATATTTCAGGTAACAAGTACAATAGTCGTTTTTTAAATTTCTCATCCGTCCTTTAACATGTGGAACTAAACTGCACCTGATTAACATACATCACCCGCCATGGTATTCAGAAAGCTGTCGAAATGTCAAAATTGAGAATAGGACAACATCGATCAAATGACAGATCAGACGACTATACTGGTATTTATATAACTAAGATCGCGAGAACATGTCGCAAGAGAGTTGAGACATCGACACATCGTATCGATCAACCAATTTGTGATGTTGACCGTAAAACTTATGTAGTATCGATAAAAAGATGTGATACTATAATTTATATTTAAATGTTGTGTAACTAATTTTTGACGTATGTATCATTTAACTTGATTTGGAGTCTTATGTGTTAAGTCGTAAAAGCCGCCACATTATGTATGTGCCTTCCCAAGTCATGAGCCTGTATTTCAGTGATTGTCGTTGGTTGGTGTCTATCATACTTGTTTTTCGTTAATTGTATTGTCCAACTTAGGTCGTTGGTTTCTCTCGTTTTAATCCCAATTATTGTCATATTAGCCTATTATGTGTGTTTGGCTTGCTTTGCCACTTTTGTCAATACAACGAAACTATAAATAACTGTCAAACAATTGGGAGGTTTAGGTAGCCATAAAACCAGGTCTAACCCACCATTTTCTTTGGAAAATGCATGTTCTAAATCAGGAATATGGCAGTTGTTTTTGACTTGTTCCGTTGATTGATTTTGTCAGTTTTTATGGACTATACCCTTTCTGAATTTGCCTTGGAGTACGGTATTTTTGTTATACTTTTTCAATTCTTTTACATTTTGTCATGTTAGGGCCTTTTATAGCTTACCATACGGTACGGGTTTATCTTATTGTTGAAGGCCGTACGGTGACCCTTTAATTGTTCAAATTTATGTCATTTAGTCTCTAGTGACAAACATAATATATCTTCTTATTTTCATATTCAAAAGACTTCGCTTCGAACCATCATTCTAATTTTGTTCTTTTCGCCATAATTTACACGAAAAATAAGAATAAATGCAACGTATTTTATACGTATAATTGAGCATCACAATGCCACAATCGCACTTTAAGACGATCAAAAATTCACTTCATCTTCAAAAGTATCCATTTCAGCCTGAACATCGCAGTTTGGAGTCACATCGCGGTTCAGAGACCTACATTTATATGTAAATCACTTCAGAATTGTAAGAAAAATATATACACCAAGACATGAATTCAAGATGTTTAAATATACTTGTGAACCGATGGCATTTTGCTGTATTCAGCATTCAGTTATTCCGGACATGAACTGAATGCGTCCCGAAAAGTAAAAAAAAATATGTTAATATTTGATAAAAAACCAAGCTCTTATTTTTACAATTATATATTTACGGATATGAATTTCGCTGATTTTGGAAATTTTACAACAATCTTTTAGAATTTAATAAGCAAAAAATAGTCAACTGTTGTAACCAATGATTAATTGGATCGGTCGTTTGCATTTACATATCATTTATACTTTTCTGTGTACTCTTGGCAAAAATGACTATATTTCCCGACCCATTTGGCTCAAACAAAACAATATTTTGCGCACTTTTTTATACATATTATGACAACTTTATATTGATTGTTATCAGTACTACTTTTTTTTAATTGTTTCAGTACTGATTTGAATAGTAAGTCCTGATATGGTTTATCAGGTCTTGTTTTTTCAGGAGGTGTTGGGTTTCAGGGTTGATATCTATGGCACAGTTTTCTGCTGATATATTGATACTTTTGTTGGTACTAAATGAGTCATACACAATACGGTCAAAGCGATTTCTACATCAGCAATAAAACAGTACTTCAAAATGTAAGCTAATTATTGGTATTGTACTTACACTTTAAAATAAATTAATTCTCATATATATATTTATAAGTATTAGTGTTATTATCAAGCCGTTAAAGACTCTTCGAAACATGCACTATTTTGACTATATCTAACATGTCTAAATGTGTAAGCTTATAAAGTCAATACTTCTATGAACGAACAAAATATGATTGTCAGAGGCATACGAAGAAGCAGCGTGCTCTTCTCATAATTGAACTATAAAATATGTAAATATTGAAGCGTATAAGTAATATTATTTTGCTGTCAAATATTCTTGAAAACATACAGTTTTCTTCCCTATACATCGTTAGAAGTATTTAGTGTAATAACCCTTAAAAGATGCACAATTTTGACAATAGATACATTTGCATGTTTATAAAGTCAATATAACTATCCTATGTACTTTCTAGGGGCGTATGAAGGAGGAACATACTATTCTAAGTTTATGATTTATGATATACTTAAGATTCATTATTATTCGTGTGGTACCAATTTTCGTTGATTTCGTTGGTGTAGGTTTTCCAGGAATTCAAATGTCAAACGTAGTGCAAATTTTCCATAGGCTTGTTTGCAAACTTTAGCAGAAACGAAGTAAAATATACACAAAAATGAACTTTTTCCTCAATCCTCGAACATTGTTTACGAAAACACACGAATTCACAGTGTCTGTTCATATAATGTTATTGTATATACAATTGAACCTATTTTCATTAATTGTATTGGCTAATTCCGGAGGATAATCGATTGTAAACATTATGACATTTCAAATGCAGTATGTGTTTAATCTTACAATTTAATTGAACTAAATTTATATCACTTCCACGCCGAACACTTTTAGAAAAGGTGTTGAAAGGTCAAATATTTTTTCATATTTGAGTGTTTTTCAGTACTGTTTTTCAGTATTGATTGGTTTTCAGTACAGTTTTTCTCAGTTTTGAGTGTTTTACAGTACTGTTTTTCAGTACTACTTTGCAGTATTGATTGTTTTTCAGTACTGTTTTTCAGTATAGACTGTTTTCCCGTATTGATATTTTTCAGCAGTTTTTTCAGTATGTATTGTTTTTCAGTACTGTTGTTCAATATTTTGCATGACTCGGGGAAGGACTGACATTTTCGGTACATTTTGAATATTTCTTGTTCATGACTTTGACTTAATTATAGGTGTTTCTTCCCACTTATTGCAGTTCGTTCAAAATTCTCACCCAATTACAATTTGTTTTATCAAATCAAACTGTTCAACTGATCAGAAATGTAAAGCAACAGCAAAGTAAAGTCATCAAAGTGCAAAGGGATAAAATAAAAAGTATGCTTACAATTCTATAAGACTTCAATTTCACTTCATGGGAACTATAAAAATGTTGCCTAAATTTTCTATACAAATGATTATTGTAATGAGTCAATTGAAAGGCAAAGTATTAATTTTTGAATTGCTTACAAAATGTCAAATCTAAGTCTTTGAATTATTTCTTCTAAAAATTTTTTTCTATGCATGCTACAAAGCTGACTTCAAATCAAAATTTAAAATATTTGGTGAAATACTGCATGACTTATTACAGTAAATATATTCATAGAAATATTAAGCCATACTTTGATAGCAGCCTAAAAATGGAATTCATGTCTGATAGGAATGTAAGTATGCTTTATTTTAACACTTTGCACTTTGAATTTCCAGTTGGTTGAAATGTCCTACCACTTTTACAGCTTGATTTGATAAAATAAATTGCAAATGGGTCAGAATTTTAAATGAACTGCAAATAGGAAGGGAGAAACACCTATAATTGAGTCACAGTTGGTATTAGTTCATTTTTTTCCAACTATATTTACTTATACATCTCAGTTTGTGGGTTCAAAAATTTCACTCTAAACATTATTAACAATGTTAGTGGTATTTAACAATCAGTTATTATGACGTAAACAATTTTAATCCTGGTATCTATGATGAGTTTAATAAGATATTAAATATCATTTATATAAATAGTTACAGATTTAATATAATGTAGAAATGTACGAGCAGATAGTCAGAAAATAGGTGGCAATTTATAATAATGCAAATAAATTATACGAGAAATTTGAAATTAATTCTGATATTTACAAAATTTTTGATACTTTGAAAGTCTAAGCGAAACGTTTTTTGTTTAGCAATAAGTGGATTTCGAAAAGTATCTGGTATTTCCTTAAAAGGCTTTGATGAGAAGTAAGGTTAATGTAGAGTATATTTAGTTCTCTATTAACACGACGGGTGCCACATGTGGAGCAGGATCTGCTTGCCCTTCCGGAGCACCTGAGATCACCTCCAGTTTTCGATGGGGTTCGTGTTACTTAGTCTTTTGTTTTCTATGTTGTGTCATCTGTACTATAATTTGTCTGTTTTTTTTTAATTTTTGGCCATGACGTTGTCAGTTTGTTTTCGATCTATGAGTGTGACTGTCCCTCTGGTATCTTTCGTCCATCTTTTAAGAGGGACGGAAGGACCATTTTCTGGACGTTGGTAATGGGTCTTTATTTTTGCGGGAATTCGGGATTGACAACTTTCGGGACTTGGGATTTTTTAATTTTTTTTGAAATATGATGAAACATATGAAATTACATACTACAGTATTAGACACAAATTAAAAAAATTTAGTAACACTTGTAAGATTGATCAAGTCATAATAAGATATATTACAATTGATTTGGTTAGTCAAATGCTGCTTCTAACAATTTAAACTTTTTGTGCAGGGGTTAAGGAACAGGAGTATTTTCCTATATTTATCAAATATTTCAAATATTCTATCCAACCATAATTTGTAGACAATATGTTTTTACATCTTCATTTGTGGTTACTGATTACTAGTTTATTTATAAAACACTTAATAGAAAACACCCGGCTATCTACTGTTGGTCTGCACAAAATGTTGTCGTGTGGAATAGCTGTTGGTCCTTTTAATCCACATTTTCGCTATTGACGCGACGTTTACTGTAAATAAAATAAACCAAAACAAAACATTAAGTTATTTCTTGATTTTAGTTCTCTAGGTTTTGTTTGTGCTAGTCAGTCTTTATATTCTAAGAAGTGTTTCGTACACTTTTGTTTGTCTTTTCGTCGTTTCCTTTAAACTTATGAATTTTGATTTTACCTTTGGTATCTTGCGCCTATTTGTAGAATTAAAAAATGTATAAATTACCACAAACGGTCTATATTTCTGAGTAGTAGAAATACCTTGGATGTTATCTTTGAGCAAGTAAAGTAAAACTTTAAACAAATAGCAAACACTTTAACACAGATGTTCAATTGTAAGCATTGTAAAGTGAAAAAAATGATTTTGTAGCTAGTTTAGAAATGCATATTAGTAACTCGGAATCTAAAATGATGGTTGTTTGATCAGTCTTTATCCTTCATCTTAACGACGCATTGTTTTGTATCAATAAGTACAAATGCCCTATTTTGTCAAATATATTAAGTTGACCTTATACCAACATACACGATATATAGATGATGATGATGATGATGATGATTGAACGATGCTTCATGTCCAGTGGGAAATTCAGGACGAGAACATGCTAATGTAATATGAATATTACCCTGTATTGTACTAAGCCGCCATGCTGAGTTGGATTTTTAACGTGCTAGTTCATAATGTGACAGTCTGCAAGGAGACATGTAACCTTTCCTGGACACTTTATTATGACTCCGATCCAACTGTTCTTTGCTCTTACTCCCTAATGCCGTGTACTTAGCGGACAGATGTAGAGATGGCTGGCTGTTTAACTTCCATCGCAAATTAAAGGCGTATTCAGGACTAGAACATGATACATGATATGAAATAAACCCTGCTTTGTACTTGATCAACACGCTGAGATGGATTTTGAACGTGCTAGTTCACACGGTAACAATCTGCAGGAACAAATGTCACCCTACTCAGACACATACTCCTCTTACTCCCAAATGCCGCATGATTAGCGGAGAAGCAGCAAATACCAATTTGTAAGTCTTTGGTGTGACCCGGTCGGGATTCGAATTCAGTACATCCCGCACCCAAAGCGAAACGAAACCATGAGACCTCAGAGGTGGTACATAAAATATAAATCTGATACTATAATAAATGATATCTTATATATTTATTACCTCTTATAGTGACAGTAAATGCAGGAAATAAGGAGGATGCTGATAACAGATAAAGTAAAGCCACAAACAGCAGCAATGATAATCAAGCGTAAATGTGTCGTCGAATCTGAAATGTATTCAAATTTAAAATAAGGATTATTGTATGATGCATGCATGGCACGAGACGCTTACCCAGTTGATGCATCTAATCTCGTACCTTTATTGAGTGCATCCTAAGATTTCGTGTATGATTGACAAGAGAACTTAAATATGAATAATAATTATTTATACAATTTCCTTCTAAAAATCTATTTTAACTTTATATGTAACAAATATCATTTACAACTAACATTTCAAATGCAGTATGCGTGATATTCTTGACACACCATTTAAAGAATACAAAAGTCGATCCCTTGTAATTAAATTTGTCTTTTCATTTCTAATCAGGTTAAATACCTTTTAACCGTAAAAACTTTAAAATTGGATATAAGTTTTTACCGTCATTACATAAACAAATTGGTGTCCTATCTGACTCAATTCCATATAGACTTGTAGTTTCTGATGAAGAAAATTGTAAGTATAAAATGCGTATCTGAAATTGTTATTCTAGAATTTATTGTTATGGTTAGAATATATATTGACACTTAGGGAACAGATTACATTCCAAGCTTATATATCATTATGTGTAATAATGTTTTTGATTGGTTATTTAAATTAGTGGATGTAGTATCGTTTCCTTCACTACTTAAACATATTCTGCAGGTATTACCTGTACTAATCACATTTAGGCTTGTTTGAGTAGTTACTGAGGCTCCTTCTGTTGTCATCTCTGGTACACAATGATTTTAAAAAGACATAAATATCCTTGAGAGCAAAATATATTTAAAATATATAACAAAGTCGATCCCTTGTAATTAAATTTGTCTTTTCATTTCTAATCAGGTTAACTACCTTTTAACCGTAAAACTTTAAAATTGGATATAAGTTTTTACCGTCATTACATAAACAAATTGGTGTCCTATCTGACTCAATTCCATATAGACTTGTAGTTTCTGATGAAGAAAATTGTAAGTATAAAATACGTATGAAGTATATTCTTTGGAGAGAACACAAACGTTACACAATAAAGAAAACAAGGTGTCAAAAAAAAAAATTCAATAGACAATGTTATCTACTCGTTTCTGTTATATATAATCTTAAGTCTAATGCTATACATTATATATTTATTGATTATTTAATTGATATTGATTAACAATAAAGTAATCATCACTACCGATATTTCCTGACATGGCGAACGTCACATAATGTTGTCACGCTTGACTTATCTTATTTATGATGAACATTACAAATGGTTAAGCTTCTGTGCTATGATGTCACGTATAAAAAAAGCAATAATGATTGTGACACTAACTATGACAGCGGATAACAAATATTGGAAAAACAGTGTTGATCCTTCTAGTTTGCATGAAAATTTATTGCAAAAACGTGTTATTCATTGACTTATGCTATTGATTATAAACAATAAAACAGGTATATAACTTTCAAGAGTATCTGAAATTGTTATTCTAGGATTTTTTGTTATGGTTAGAATATATATTGACACTTAGGGAACAGATTACATTCCAAGCTTATATATCATTATGTGTAATAATGTTTTTGATTGGTTATTTCAATTAGTGGATGTAGTATCGTTTCCTTCACTACTTAAACATATTCTGCAGGTATTACCTGTACTAATCACATTTAGGCTTGTTTGATGCTGAGTAGTTACTGAGGCTCCTTCTGTTGTCATCTCTGGTACACAATGATTTTAAAAAGACATAAATATCCTTGAGAGCAAAATATATTTAAAATATATAACAAAGTTTCAAGAAGAAAACAAGAAATGCAAAAGCCAATACAAGTAAAACTGGAGTGATCGCGAGCATTTAGTTAAGATAAAAAGTCCAATATATTATTATTTATGCTGGATGTGCTTCTTCTTTTATGCCTTTGATTTGTGCCTTAATACCAGGTGAGAAAAGAAAGATATGTTTGTGACACTTACTATGTTAGCGGATAACACATATTTAAAAAAAAAGTCATATTTCATATTTATGAAAGAACTTTGCAAGAAAGGTAATTTCAAAACACATATTATTTACATGTCAATTTAAAATAGGCTAGATTTATAAAAGAGACATTTAAATTTTATAAGAAAAAGGGAAAACACTATGTCAATAAAAACCGCAAACGACGTAAAGACAATAGGTCAACAAAACGCTACACAGAAAAGTAAAGACTGAGCAACACAAACCTAACCCTAAAACTCGAGTTGATCTCATTTAAATATGACGCAGATATTTCAGTCAAAATTATTTAAAGAAAATATTGTTATCTGTTTTTCTAACATAAAATTTTGTATTTATAATAAACTACCTATGCAGTTGATGAAACCATAGTCAACTACCATTGTGCCATTACACATTGCACCTGTATCCTCGAGATTATGATTTTGTAAAAAGAACTTGAGATGTTCCAACTCGCAGTTCGAACAGTTCAGTGGATTGCCATGTAAATCCCTGTTGAAAAAATACAAATTACATCTAACTTTTTAATGTTTCAAAGCTTGAATGAATAGTATGATTATCCATGCACAACAGTATTGTATACATACAAAATGAAAAAGCTGGAACTGCCAACTGGTCCTTACTGAACTGCACTTGAATGAGGAGAAATCAATTTATTTCAAGGGTTCAAATACTAGTATGCTTGAAGGGACAAATACACATATTTTATTATCAAAAATATTTATTTTGGTAATATCGTCCTTGACCTTAGACCCAAAAAGCAATCTGATAATATCCCCTTCCGTTATATGTTCGATTTGTATAAGTCAATCAAAACAAGGAAGGGAAACTCAAACTACTACCAGGAAACAATGTTTTTATAGACACCTTTTCTATATCCTCCATCTATTTAAGTTTGATTAAAATCAGACGAAGGAATATCAAGATACCATCCCTTTTTCTCCTTTTTTTCATTTTTAGTCAACATGACCATTGATTTATGACCCCGAAATCAAAAGACTTCTTCCTTTTCCCTATATTTTCCGTATCATTGTAATCAAGGGTACACCAAGATACGATGAAGAAACTATCTTACGAAGTTTGTTCAATATTTAGTTACAGTGACCTTGATATTATACCTATTGACCAACCATGCATATTATTCTGTCATATCCTTGAATTTTCAAAAGTGTCATTCAAATCAAGCAATGGATTCTAGAGTTAATACACAGAAACCATTTGTTTTGGATTGCAATTGATTGACATATATTTCTGCAAAACAAATGGTCTTCGTCAATGTTTGTTTGTTTTTCAAGGTGTACAATGAGGCAATATGATTCATTTGTTTGTTAAACAAGCATGCTCAAATTAATATACATTGTGACTTGATGGATACTTTTCGAACTTATTGTGAAATTTTATTTAGAATATATTAAAGCATTTCCGAGTATTCGATTTTTACTAAACCTGCATATATCTACAGAATAAACAGCATTAGCCTATCATCAATATCCGTTATTGGATCATTAAAGTACTAAGCGTAGATTCCGAGTAAATATCATATTTCATGATAGATACACAATCAAATAATATATTTCGTACTTGAAATGTACAAAACTAAATTCCCATGTATCTTTGTACTTACATCAAGTTCGGGATAAACACTTAGTTGGTTTGACACATTCCATCAATATCATATTTTCAAAGGAAAATTTTAAAGATCAAAGATGATTTTATTCCAAAATCCCCCAAAATCTAAATTATCTAGCCATTTTATCAAATATTTTTCCCTAAAGTAACCCTTTCGGATATGCACATAGTACACTATTATGTACTTTATTTGCCGTTTTAACGTTTTCGATTCGAGCATCGAAGATAAGTCTTTTTTAGTCCAAACGCGAGTCTGGCGTAAAAAAATCAACGCCCGATATTTTTAATAAGTTTTTCGAGTACATCGTGTAGTAACTGATTCCTTTTCAGTCCAATTTATAGTATGTTTTTATTTGAAATTGCTTTTATATACTGATTATCATTCCATCCAATGTATGGTATTAAAATACTTTTTTTATATAGAAATAGAGTATATAGTCGAAAGAAAACAAACAACCAGCAAATTAAATAAATAGCAGATGCTCCAATGACAGCGCAGCAAAAAGAAATATTACAAGAAACGTAAGAATTGTGTAACGATACTGATAAAAGAATATACGAACAAGATGAAATGAAATTGTATTGAAAGATGTCTATACACAATGAAAGTCCCTTTTCAAAATGTGATTAAACAATAAGTTCTTTTGTGTTGAAAAATCTCTTTTCCTCATACTGGAAAAGTAGTGTTCCTATATGAGGAAAAGAGCTTTTTTCATCTCAAAAAATTAATTGTTTATACATGTACTCTTGCCCTTCATCCAGTAAAATAATATAAAAGCAGCAAGTACCCATTCTCAAGTATTTGGTTTGACAGATACGGTCTTAGTCTGTATTGCAAGTAAATGTGATGAGCAGACATTTTGAAGTTCAAATTCAACTTGTAAAATATTCGTTTACTGCTAGGCACGGTTTAAGAAGTAAACCGAACTTGGTCCTAGGACTGTTTTTATGACTTTTGAAAACGTAACCTTTTACAGGTCTGCCAGTCCTGGAAACAGATCAACTTCGACCCATGTTGCCCAGAACCCATACATTTTTGAACTGGTCTTCTCTTTGCCAAACTTGTGATCAGTATAAAATGAGAAGATGTTATAGAGTACCAATGATACAACTATCCACCAGAGATCAAACGACGTAGATTTTAGCAATATCGCCATACGGCCTTCAACAATGAACAATAATCATACCGCATTGCAAACTACAAAAGTCCCAGACAAACTAATATGCAAAACAATTTAAATGACAATATCAACCGCCTGATTTATGAACTGTACAACAAACAAAAAACAAAATATGATATACAGTAACAAACGACAACCAGTGAATTGCAGGTTCTGACTTGGATTAGACATACACATTATGTGGCGGGGTTCAACATGCTTGCGGACGCCCAATCCTCTCCCTAACCTGGGACTGCTGTATAGCAGCACACCATAAGAACAAACTATTTAAATAAGTTAAAACGGGCTTGACTCATCGGATCGACACAAAGAAAAACAAACACTAAAGACACAAAGTACCGACCTAAAAGCTAGTTCCAAGACATTATCACAATTAAGAAAAATCATGTATCCAATAAAAAATATCAATCAGTACAGATTCAAAGTATTTAGTGTAAAAACGTCATAAACAGTCTAGAAAACATGATCTGGATTTATTACGTAATAGTATCGACAGGATGAAGAACCTTAAATGTTAATAACTGTATAGCAAAACATAGTTACTTATGTTTTGATTTATTGGTAAGAAAATCAATGTTAGTACCAATAAAAACAACATTCAAAGATTTAATTACAATGTTAAAATGATAACCTTTAAGAGTAAGCTTATTCAAATGATTGATAAGCGATCAGAACGATGAATCGTTTCCGAATTAACGGGCACAGAGGAAATACATCATCATAAAACTAGAATTGTTATCCCTTGATGTAAAGGTTTTCTACAAGTGCAAGCAAACTTTAGAACTAAATTTTTGTGTTTATATAATAATTAAGTATAGATCTTACGTAATTTGAGGGAACATAATCCTCCACTTAATAACCTATCCTTGATAAACATATTAACACCAGAGGACACGTTACCGTCAAAAAAAGGTAAATTAAAAAAAGGTAAAAAAATCGTCCCTTTTGTATAGATTTAGTATATGATTGATTTAAAGCATGATGAATACACGATATCCAATTACATTCATGACATTTTGATGAACATTTTGTTGCAAACGTTAATAATTTAATCATATGTTCATTGAACATGTGAAAAAAAAGTCTGTAAAATTGGAAGGTGACATTTTTAAATTGATCGACAAGAAAGTTAAAAAAAAAAAAAAAAAAAAAAAAATAACAAAAGAAAAAAGGAAGAAAGAAAAAAAAAAGAACATAGAGAATACTAATGATTGCAAAAGAAGATAAAAAAAATCATGCAAATTTCTCAAATGGATAGAAAATTTTGATGACAATAAATATGGAGCAATAGAATAAAAAATTCAAAAGTTTGAGGGACAAATTCATTGAAAATGTAAAGTTGCTATATTGCAGTTATAACTCGACAAGGCCATAGACGGAGTTACAAAGCTCAAAATATGTTAAACAATTATAAAAACAGAGACAGCAAAATAATTATATTAAAAAATGTAAAAAAAACCGATTTATTATTACTAAAAAAAAGACGAAATATTATTCCTTTGCACGTCAAAAAAATAATTTTCAATCCAAATATTTGTTATTTTTGTCTTTGATATGCATCTTTAAAGGGTATCGAACATTCCTTACATTTGTACATCGGCATGAATCTTATGTAAAATCGACACAGTATTCAGATAGGATACGACACAAGTTAAGAAGTTCTAGCAAGTAAGTGCTAGCAATATTTCGAACCGTTGACTGTTTAAAATGTGATGGTGCCGGCAATATTGCTAGTTTCTGAGGTTACTCCCAGTTTTGATGAGGTTCCTGTTCCTAGTCTTTACATTTTTATATATTATCTGGTTGACTTATTTTTCGTATGTTCTGCAATGGCTTTATCGGTTTCCCTTCTACTAATGAGTTTTGAAGGTGCCCTTGGTATCTCTCGTCTCTTTTGTTCAAATTTTCATATCCTGCTAAAAATGACTGAACAGACTCCTTGTACCGGCCTTTTAAAAAACATGATAAAATAAACGATTGAAAAAATCATATTAAATCAAAAGTGAAATATTATAGGAAAATTGCAACATGCCTCTTTAGAAAACACAAAAAAAAAAACACAAACTTGGCCATCGGAAAATGTTAATTCTCAATGAAATTAAAATCATTAAGTTACATTTAAAGGACGTATTTTTAAGCAAACAATCAGCATACCCATGGTAAGCAACTGTGTCCCTCTTTTTTGGTGACCTGTTTCTTTATTCATATAAGGCAGACTTCACACAGAAGCTTCTAAGGAAGAATGAAAAGAAGCTAGCACTATCCCCACGTTCCGCTATTAAGATGATGTCCCCTCCCTAACAGTTTACAACCTTTCGATACCAGTGTAGTAAGCCTTTAATTGGTTGAATCAGACGTCGTAGATTTATACGCTCATGTCCTTAGCAAGATGAAGTTTTTGTTGTAAAAGTTGTGTGCAAGCAATCAAAAGCATTACAAGGTTGCTTCGAAAGAATATCAGTTAAAACATATCAATTTAGCTTAGGAGTCCTTATAAAAGTAACAAAATCCTTAATAAATCTATTATATTCTGCAAATGATTTGTAATGTTTCCCCTCAGTTTATTATTTTTGGGGAATCAAAATTGATCAGCACATCTTAAGTCTTTCTTCTTCATATGTATTTAATGCAAACTCTGCCAAAAGGGAGGGAAACATTTTTTAGCATTTAAAATTATAACTTTATATTTAAGTTTACATGAAAGATAGAATGAAACAGCAAACCACTAAAAAGAGATTAACAACTATTGTTTTTGGCAATCAATCTGCTTACAATGTAAGAAGCATCCTTAACAGGATTAAGCCATTAAATATATTTGCATCTAGCGTTGTTATTCTATTGGTATGAATGACCCGGAAAAAAAACAACATTTCAAAAATGTATTGCTACATCACTTTTTTCATCCTCATAATTACAAACATATTTACGTAACAAATAGTAGGCATGGATATAAGGTGAGATACAGCTGTTCGAAAGCTCATTGCACAAATACTCAGAGATGTGAATGACGCAATGGAAATTAGAGTATGCACGAACGCCTTTACTATCTCATAGCAAGGGATACTATCGTTTAAGTAAGCTCAGCTCTAAAACTTTAAAACAAATGTGTCATCATCCTGAATAGTTTGACCAGTACTATGTTTCTGTGTCACTCCTAGCTAGGACAAGTTTTTCGCTCTTTTGATCTTTACATACTACGAAAGTAGAAGGGGTTGAACATTCACTATTTGTGTTCAATTCCCGTTTATATAGTTGGCATGTAGTGACATGTGTGCATAGACGAAATCCCACTAATTAGAGTTATTCATTACTTCACTCTGAAGAGTATCAGCACTCATAGTATTACATTTCTTAGATATGGTACGCCTTAAGTGAATGATGAAATATCATGAAAAGAAAATAAGTATAGGACAGATCTTTTTTATCACTTCACTCAAAGTAATATTGGTCTACATACAAGTATGTTCAAAACAAAGATTTCAATATACAGTCATTTACCAAAGAAACAAATAAGAAACAGTTCTCCAAAATATAATTGATGAATGAAGGATTTTTGTTTCAAAGTACTGTCTAAGTTGCTTATTTGATAACCGTAGACTAATATTTCTTTCAACCAACCTTTGACTACTTTTGATTGCTTGCACAATATTCAGTCAACCTCAACTTTATTACGATTTTCATTGAGTTGTGTGAAAGCAATCAAAAGAGATCCAAATGCTTGGAAGCAATATTAGTGAACTTTTATCAATTCAGGAACATTGGCAATCTAATAAAACTAAAATCCTTCTTTCAGCAATTATGTTTTGCACAACGGTTTCTTTTTTCTTCTTAAGGAAATTATTTTTTTGGGAAATAGTATTGATCTACATATGTTCAGAGTCTTCCTTATTTAAATGTATCTTATTTCAAATTATAAAAAAGGGGCTATGTAATTCATAGAGCTGAAATGACAATTAGACATTTCTTTCTTAATTCATATTCGAAACTTGTTGAGCACCAAAAGAAAATACCAGAACTCAAAAAATTCACAAACAAATAGTCCAACAAATAATGTTCATGTAGTACTTTATATTGTGTTTTACTAATTAAAGAGAAAAAGCGTTGGCAATGCTATCATTGTATATGAATGTTAGGCATCAATACGATTATAACCAGGTATTTTCTGTTCCCGTTTTCTTAGTGTTCATGTAGTGAAATATCTGCGTTGACAAGATATGACCAACTTGAGTTATTTTATCACTTCACTGAAAAGATTTTTAGTTATCATATTATTTGATTTTTTTAGGTATGGGACGCCTAAAGTGTATGCCGAAATAGCATAAAAAATAAGTATATTTCTATGAAAGTTGCGAAAGATCTTTCAGAATCTAAAAAAATACAATTAGAAATTACGTTTACAAAATTTAAGATTCTATATGAATTAAGGAGACGGGAGATATAATGCAATAACAAACCCGGTTACCAAAAGGTGCAAAACTATTAACTTTTCGGCTATCAATTTACTTGCCATCGAAAATATTTTCATCTAGCGAGGTGATTTGATTATATTGCAAATCCCTGAAAAAGAACATTTTGTAAAATGTATTGTGCAACTACTTTTGTTATGTAAATAAGTACACATTTACGTCGGAAATATAGGTCAACTGAAGGTAGGACAGATGTTTTTGAAACATATATTACATATTGCACATGAACGGATAAATGTAATAGGTGATTTTTAAAAGCCGTTATTCCTATACGCAATGAAGATAAATATCATTAGATACATCTTCAAGATTAGCTCTAAATCTTCACAGTTGTTTGTTGTTACTGTTTTTGAATACGGAAAGACATATCTAAGATACTATATCTTACACCAACTAGATCGATAGAGGCGCAGTTAGACTTAAATCTGACTTCTACGGATTTCAGTGATTTACATCCTATTTTCATTAAGTCCTAAGCGAGCGGCAAGAAGTCGGGGTTGATTGAAATCTGTGCAAGAAATCAAAAGTATTCGAAAGTTGGTTGGAAGAAATATCAGTATTTGGTGGGGTTCGTAGCTCAGTCTTTAGTTTTGTATGTTGTGTTTTGAATACTGTTGTTTTTCTGTTTGTATTTTCTTTTTTAGCCATGGCGTTGTCAGTTTATTTTCGACTTCTCCCGTTGGTATCTTTTGCCTCTCTTTGGCAGTCCTATGACACTTAAATCCTTCTATCAGCAATTATGTTTTGCACAACGGTTTCTTTTTTCTTACTAAGGAAATGTTTTTTTTGCGAAAATAATATTGGTCTACATATGTTCAGAGTCTTCCTTATTTAAATGTATCTTATGGCAAATTTTACAAAAAGGGCTAAGTAATTCATAGAGCAAAAATTATATACTAAATTTTTATTGTTACTTTCTGATTTATAACCTTAGATCATTTGTCGTGATAAATCGATATAAGTTTACACATAATTTATATTGGAAACTAGTTAAACACCATCAGAAAATACCAGAACTCAAGAAATTCACATACAATTAGTCCAACGAATAATTTTCATGTAGTACTTTATATTGTGTTTTACTAATTAAAGAGGGAAAGCGTTGGTAATTTTACATTGTATAATAATATTAGGCATCAATTCGATTATAACCAGGTATTTTCTGTTCCTGTTTTCTTAGTGTCATGTAGTGAAATATCTGGGTTGACAAAATATGACCAACTTGAGTTATTTTATCACTTCACTCAAAACATTATCCGTTATCATATTATTTTATTTTTTTAGATATGGGACGCCTAAATTGTATGCAGAAATAGCATAAAAAATAAGTATATTTCTATGAAAGTTGCGAAAGATCTTTCAGAATAAAAAAAAAATACAATTAGAAATTACGTTTACAAAATTTAAGATTCTATATGAATCAAGGAGACGGGAGATATTATGCATTAACAAACCCGTTAACCAATGGTTGCAAAACTATTATTTTTTCGGCTATCAATTTACTTACAATATTTGAAGCGCCGTCAAGCCATTAAAAATATTTTCATCTAGCGAGGTGATTTGATTAGTTTGCAATTCCCTGAAAAAGAACATTTTGTAAAATGTATTGCGCAACTCCTTTTGTTAAATAAATAAGTACACACTTACGTCGAAAATAAAGTTCAACTGAAGGTAGGACAGATATTTTTGAAACATTAATTACCTATTGCACATGAACGGATAAATGTAATAGGTGATTTTTAAAAGCCGTTATTCTAATACGCAATGAAGATAAATATCATGGGATACATCTTCAAGATTAGCTCTAAATCTTCACAGTTGTTTGTTGTTACAGTTTTTGAATACGGAAAGACATATCTAAGTTACTATATCTTACACCAACTAGATCGATAGCGGTGCAGTCAGACTTAAATCTGACTTCTACTGACGTCAGTGATTGACATCCTATTTCCATCAAGTCCTTAGCGAGCGGCAATGAAGTTGGGGTTGATTGAAATCTGTGCAAGCAATCAAAAGTATTCAAAGGTTTGTTGGAAGAATTATCAATGTTTGGTGGGGTTCGTGTTGCTCAGTCTTCAGTGTTCTATGTTGTGTTTTGAATACTGTTGTTTTTCTGTTTGTCTTTTTCTTTTTTAGCCATGGCGTTGTCAGTTTATTTTTCGACTTCTCCCGTTGGTATCTTTTGCCTCTCTTTGGCAGTCCTATGACACTTAAATCCTTCTATCATCAATTATGTTTTGCACAACGGTTTCTTTTTTCTTACTAAGGAAATGATTTTTTTGGCGAAAATAACATTGGTCTACATATGTTCAGAGTCTTCCTTATTTAAATGTATCTAATGGCAAACCTTACAAAAAGGGGCTATGTAATTCATAGGGCTAAAATGACAATTATATATTTATTTTTCATTGTTACTTTCTGATTTATAACCTTAGATCATTTGTCGTGATAAATCGATATCAGTGTACACATAAGTCATATTGGAAACTTGTTGATCACCATAAGAAAATACCAGAACGCAGGAAATTTACACACAAATAGTCCAACAATTAATTTTCATGTAGTACTTTATATTGTGTTTTACTAATTTAAGAGGGAAAGCGTTGGTGATGCTATCATTGTATAAGAATGTAAGGAATCAATTCGATTATAACCAGGTATTTTCTGTTCCTGTTTTCTTAGTGTCATGTAGTGAAATATCTGCATTGACAAAATATGACCAACTTGAGTTATTTTATCATTTCACTCAAAAGATTATCAGTTATCATATTATTTGAGTTTTTAGATATGCGACGCCTCAATTGTATGCAGAAATAGCATAAAAAATAAGTATATTTCTATGAAAGTTGCGAAAGATCTTTCAGAATCTAAAAAAAAATACAATTAGAAATTACGTTTACAAAATTTAAGATTCTATATGAATCAAGGAGACGGGAGATATAATGCATTAACAAACCCGTTATCCAATGGTTGCAAAACTATTATTTTTTCGGCTATCAATTTACTTACAATGTTTCAAGCGCCGTCAAGCCATTAAAAATATTTTCATCTAGCGAGGTGATTTGATTATTTTGCAATTCCCTGAAAAAGAACATTTTGTAAAATGTATTGCGCAACTACTTTTGTTATATAAATAAGTACATATTTACGTCGAAAATAAAGGTCAACTGAAGGTAGGACAGATCTTTTTGAAACATTAATTACCTATTGCACATGAACGGATAAATGTAATAGGTGATTTGTAAAAGCCGTTATTCTAATACGCAATGAAGATAAATATCATGGGATACATCTTCAAGATTAGCTCTAAATCTTCACAGTTGTTTGTTGTTACAGTTTTTGAATACGGAAAGACATATCTAAGTTACTATATCTTACACCAACTAGATCGATAGCGGTGCAGTCAAACTTAAATCTGACTTCTACTGACGTCAGTGATTGACATCCTATTTCCATCAAGTCCTAAGCGAGCGGCAATGAAGTTGGGGTTGATTGAAATCTGTGCAAGCAATCAAAAGTATTCAAAGGTTTGTTTGAAGAATTATCAATGTTTGGTGGGGTTCGTGTTGCTCAGTCTTCAGTTTTCTATGTTGTGTTTTGAATACTGTTGTTTTTCTGTTTGTCTTTTTCTTTTTTAGCCATGGCGTTGTCAGTTTATTTTCGACTTCTCCCGTTGGTATCTTTTGCCTCTCTTTGGCAGTCCTATGACACTTAAATCCTTCTATCATCAATTATGTTTTGCACAACGGTTTCTTTTTTCTTACTAAGGAAATGATTTTTTGGCGAAAATAACATTGGTCTACATATGTTCAGAGTCTTCCTTATTTAAATGTATCTAATGGCAAACTTTACAAAAAGGGGCTATGTAATTCATAGAGCTAAAATGACAATTATATATTTATTTTTCATTGTTACTTTCTGATTTATAACCTTAGATCATTTGTCGTGATAAATCGATATCAGTTTACACATAATGTATATTGGAAACTAGTTAAACACCATAAGAAAATACCAGAATTCAAGAAACTCACATACAATTAGTCCAACGAATAATTTTCATGTCGTACTTTATATTGTGTTTTACTAATTAAAGAGGGAAAGCGTCGGTAATGCTTTCATTGTATAAGAATGTTAGGCATCAATTCGATTATAACCAGGTCTTTTCTGTTCCCGTTTTCTTAGTGTTCATGTAGGGAAATATCTGCGTTGACAAAATATGACCATCTTGAGTTGTTTTATCATTCCACTCAAAATAATATCAGCACTTGTATTATTCTATTTGTTGGATATGGGACGCCTAAAGTGAATGACGAAATAGCATAGAAAAAATAGGTATATTTCTCATAAAGTTGCAAAACATCTTTCAGAATCTAAAAAAAATACAATTAGAAATTACGTTTAAAAAATTTAAGATTCTATATGAATCAAGGACCGGGAGATATAATGCAATAACAAACCCGGTAACCAATGGTTGCAAGGCTATTTTTTTTCGTCTGTAAATTTACTTACAATCCTTCAAGCCCCGTCAAGCCACTGAAAATATTTTCATCTAGCGAGGTGATTTGATTATTTTGCAAGCTCCTGAAAAAGAACACTTTGTAAAATGTATTACGCAACTACTTTTGTTATATAAATTAGTACAAATTTACGTAGAAAATATAGGCCTACTGAAGGTAGGATATATCGTTTCGAAACATTAATTACCTATTTCATATGAACGGATAGATGTAGTTACTATATCTTAAATCAACTATATCGATAGCGGTGCTCTTACATGTTTTAGACTTACATCTGACGTCTGTTGACGTCAAAGATAGACATTCTATTTTCATCAAGTCCTTAGCAAGCAGTAATGAAGTTGAGGTTGACTGAATATTGTGCAAGCAATCAAAAATAGTCAAAGGTTGGTTGAAAGAAATATTAGTATACGATTATCAAATAAGCAACTTAGACAGTACTTTGAAACTAAAATCCTTCATTCATCAATTATATTTTGGAAAACTGTTTCTTATTTGTTTCTTTGGTAAATGATTGTATAAGGAAAAAGGACAATTGATCTACATATATTTAGTCCTCCTTTTTTTGTTTTAAATGTATCTTAAGCATAATCAGCCGAATAGGGGTGAGGCAATTTAAAGGAAAAAAACCGACAATTTTATACCTTAGTTTTATAATTGCTCCCCGACTTAAGGCATCGGCGTTAAAGTCGAAGTTCAATGAGTTGTGTGAAAGCAATCGAAAGCAGTCAAAATGCTTGGAAGCAATATTAGTGAAATTTTATCAATTCAGGAACTTTGGCAGTCTAATAAAACTTAAATCCTTCTTTCAGCAACTATGTTTTGCGCAACGGTTTCTTTTTTCTTCTTCAGGAAATTATTTTTTGGGGAATTAATATTGGTCTACATATGTTCAGAAACTTCCTTATTTAAATGTATCTTATTGCAAACTAAAAAACAAAGGGCTATGTAATTCATAGAACTTAAATGACAATTAAATATTTCTTTCCGATTGTTTCTTTCCGATCGATATCCGTAAATCATTTGTCGTGATAAATCGATATTAGTGTACACATAAGTCATTTTAGAAACTTGTTGATCACCTTAAGAAAATTCCAGAACGCAGGAAATTTACACACAAATAGTCCAACAAATAATTTTCATGTAGTACTTTATATTGTGTTTTACTAATTCAAGAGGGAAAGCGTTGGATAATGCTATCATTGAATAAGAATGTAAGGAATCAATTCGATTATAACCAGGTATTTTCTGTTCCTGTTTTCTTAGTGTCATGTAGTGAAATATCTGCATTGACAAAATATGACAAACTTGAGTTATTTTATCATTTCACTCAAAAGATTATCAGTTATCATATTATTTGAGTTTTTAGATATGGGACGCCTCAATTGTATGCAGAAATAGCATAAAAAATAAGTATATTTCTATGAAAGTTGCGAAAGATTTTTCAGAATCTAAAAAAAATACAATTAGAAATTACGTTTACAAAATTTAAGATTCTATATGAATCAAGGAGACGGGAGATATTATGCATTAACAAACCCGTTAACCAATGGTTGCAAAACTATTATTCTTTCGGCTATCAATTTACTTACAATATTTGAAGCGCCGTCAAGCCATTAAAAATATTTTCATCTAGCGAGGTGATTTGATTATGTTGCAAGTCCCTGAAAAAGAACATTTTGTAAAATTTATTGCGCAACTACTTTTGTTATATAAATAAGTACACATTTAAGACGAAAATATAGGTCAACTGAAGGTAGGACAGATATATTCGAAACATTAATTACCTATTGCATATGAACGGATAGATTTTAAAAGGGATTTTAAAAGTCGTTTTTCTGATACGCAATGAAGTTAAATATCAAGGGATATATTTTCAAGATTAGCTCCAAATCTTCACAATTGTTTTTTTTCACAGTTTTTGAATAAAGTAAGGCATATATAAGTTACTATATCTTACACCAACAAGATCGATAGCGGTGCAGACATAATCAAATCTGATTTCTCCTGAGGTCAAAGATTGACATCCTATTTTCATCAAATGTTCAGTAAGCGACAATGAAGTTGAGGTTGACTGAATACTGTCAAGCAATCAAAATGAGTCAAAGGTTGGTTGGAAAAAAATATATTAGTCTACGGTTCTCAAATAAGCAACTTAGACAGTACTTTGAAACTAAATCCTTCATTCATCAATTATATTTTTGCAGGACTGTTTCTTATTTGTTTCCATGTAAAATTAGTTTATAAAGGGAAAGGAAAATTGATCTACATATATTTAGTCTTCCTTTTTTTTTAGATATATCTTAAGCCAAATTTGCCAAATAGGGATGAGGCAATTTAAAGGGAGAACCGACTTAAGGCATCGGCGATACAGTCGAAGGTCAATACGTTGTGTCAAAGCAATTAAAAGTAGTAAAAATGGTTGGAAGCAATCTTAGTGAAATTTTATTAATTCAGGAACTTTGGCAGTCTTATCAAACTAAAATCCTTCTTTTAGCAATTATCTTTTGCACAACGGTTTCTTTTTTCTATCCTAAGCAAATGATTTTGTGGGGAAATACTATTGGTCTACATATGTTGAAAGCCTTACTTATTTAAATGTATCTTATGGCAAATTTTGAAAAAAAGGGGCTATGTAATTCATAAGGCTAAAATGACAATTATATATTTAATTATCCTTGTTTCTTTCCGATTGATAACCTTAGATCATTTGTCGTGATAAATCGATATTAGTTTACACATAATTTATATTGGAAAGTAGTTGATCACCATAAGAAAAAACAGAACTCAGGAAATTCACATACAAATAGTCTTAAAAATAACTTGAATGTAGTACTTTATATTGTGTTTTACTATTTAAAGATGGAAAGCATTGGTTATGCTTACATTGTACAAGAATGTTTGGCATCAATTCGATTATAACCAGGTCTTTCCTGTTCCCGTTTACTTGGTGTTCATGTATTGAAATATCTGCGTTTACACAATATAACCAACTTGAGTTATTTTATCACTTCACTCAAAAGATTATCATCACTAATATTTTTTTAATTTCTTAGATATGGAACGCCTTAAGTGTATGACGAAATAGCATAAAAAATAAGTATATTTCTAGGAATGTTGCGAAAGATCTTTCAGAATCTAAAAAAAATAAAATTAGAAATTACGTTTACAAAATTTAAGATTCTATATGAATCAAGGAGACGGGAGAGATAATGCAAAAACAAATCCGGTAACCAATGGTTGCAAAACTATTATTTTTTGTCTATCAATTTACTTACAATGTTTGAAGCTCCGTCAAGCCATTGAAAATATTTTCATCTAGCGAGGTGATTCGATTAGTATTCAATTTCCTGAAAAATAAAATTTTGTAAAATGTACTGCCCAACTACTTATGTTACGTAGATACATACCAATTTACGCAGAAAATATAGGCCAACTGAAGGTAGGACAGATATTTTCGAAACATAAATAACCTATTGCACATGAACGGAAAGATATAAAAAGGGATTTAAAAAGTCGTCTTACTGATACGCAATGAAGTTAGATATCAAGGGATATATCTTCAAGATTAGCTCTAAATCGTGACACTTGTTTGATTTCACAGTTTTAAAATACAGTAAGACATATATAAGTTACTATAACCTACACCAACAAGATCGATAGCGGTGCAGCTATAATCAAATCTGACGTCTCCTGAGGTCAAAGATTGACATCCTATTTTCATCAAGTCTTACCGAGCGACAATGAAGTTGAGGTTGACTGAATACTGTCAAGCAATCAAAAGTAGTCAAAGGTTGGTTGGAACAAAATATATTTGTCTACGGTGATCAAATAAGCAACTTAAAGAGTACTTTGAAACTAAATCCTTCATTCGTGAATATTTTTTGCAGAACTGTTCCTTATTTGTTTCCTTGACAAATGATTTTATAAGGGGAAAGGAAAATTTAATCTACATATATTTAGTTTTTTTATTAGATGTATCTTAAGCCAAATTTGCCGATAAGGGGTGAAGCAATTTAAAGGGAGAAAAACGACAATTTTAAATCTTAGATTCATAATTGATCTCCAACTTAAGGCATCGGCGTTAAAGTCGAAGTTCAATGAGTTGTGTGAAAGCAATTAAAAGTAGTCAAAATGCTAAGAAGCAGTATTAGTGAAATTTTACCAATTCAGGAACTTTGGCAGTCTTATAAAACTAAAATCCTTCTTTCAGTAATTATGTTTTGCGCAACGGTTTCTTTTCTCTTTCCTAAGCAAATGATTATGTGGGGAAATAATATTGGTCTAGATATGTTCAAAGCCTTACTTATTTAAATGTATCGTATGGCAAATTTTGCAAAAAGGGGCTATGTAATCCATAGAGTTAAAATGACGATTACATATTTTTTTTTTTATAAGTTTAATTATTTCTTTCCGATTCATAACCTTAGATCATTTAACGTGATAAATCGATATTAATTTACACATAATTTTTATTGGAAACTAGTTGATCACCATAAGAAAAAACTAGAAATTCAAATAGAAATAGTCCAATGAAAAATGTTTATGTATTACTTAATATTGTGTTTTACTAATTTAAGATGGAAAGCGTTGTTTATGCTTACATTGTATAAGAATGTTTGGCATCAATTCGATTATAACCAGGTCTTTTTTGTTCCTGTTTACTTAGTGTTGATTTATTGAAATATCTGCGTTTACACAATATGACCAACTTGAGTTATTTTATCACTTCACTCAAAAGATTATCAGCACTCATATTATTTATTTCTTAGATATGGAACGCCTCAAGTGTATGACGAAAAAGCATAACAAAATAAGTATATTTCTAGGAAAGTTGCGAAACATCTTTCAAAATCTAAAAAGAAATACAATTAGAAATTACGTTCAGAAAATGTGAGATTCTATATGAATCAAGGAGACGGGAGATATAATGCAATACCAACTTTCAATGTTTGAAGCCCCGTCAAGCCATTGAACATATTTTCATCTATAGAGGTGATTTGATTTTTTTGCAAGTACCTGAAAAATAACATTTTGTAAAATGTATTGCCCAACTACTTATGTTATGTATATAAGTACAAATTTTCGCAGAAAATATAGGCCAACTGAAGGTAGGTCAGATCTTTTCGAAACATAAATAACCTATTGCACATGAGCAGAAAGATATAAAAAGGGATTTAAAAAGTCGTTTTTCTGATACGCAATGATGTTAGATATCAAGGGATATATCTTCAAGATTAGATCTAAATCGTGACAATTGTTTGTTTTCACAGTTTTGGATTTCAGTAAGACATATATAAGTTACTATATCTTACACCAACAAGATCTATAGCGGTGCAGCCATAATCAAATCTGACTTCTCCTGAGGTCAAAGATTGACATCCTATTTTCATCAAGTCCTCAGCGAGCGACAATGAAGTTGAGGTTGACTGAATACTGTCAAGCAATCAAAAGTAGTCAAAGGTTGGTTGGAACAAAATATAGTTGTCTACGGTGATCAAAATAAGCAACTTAGACAGTACTTTGAAACTAAATCCTTCATTCGTGAATATTTTTTGCAGAGCTGTTCCTTATTTGTTTCCTTGGCAAATGATTTTATAAGGGGAAAGGAAAATTTAATCTACATATATTTAGTTTTTTTTTTAGATGTATCTTATGCCAAATTTGCCGATAAGGGGTGAAGCAATTTAAAGGGAGAAAAACGACAATTTTAAATCTTAGATTCATAATTGCTCTCCAACTTAAGGCATCGTCGTTAAAGTCGAAGTTCAATGAGTTGTGTGAAAGCAATTAAAAGTAGTCAAAATGCTAAGAAGCAATATTAGTGAAATTTTACACCAATTCAGGAACTTTGGCAGTCTTATAAAACTAAAATCCTTCTTTCAGTAATTATGTTTTGCACAACGGTTTCTTTTCTCTTTCCTAAGCAAAGGATTTTGTGGGGAAATAATATTGGTCTACATATGTTCAAAGCCTTACTTATTTAAATGTATCTCATGGCAAATTTTGCAAAAAGGGTCTATGTAATCCATAGAGCTAAAATGACGATTACATATTTAAGTTTTATTATTTCTTTCCGATTCATAACCTTAGATCATTTAACGTGATAAATCGATATTAGTTTACACATAATTTTTATTGGAAACTAGTTGATCACCATAAGAAAAAACTAGAAATTCAAATAGAAATAGTCCAACGAAAAATGATTATGTATTACTTAATATTGTGTTTTACTCATTAACGATGGAAAGCGTTGGTTATACTTACATTGTATAAGAATGTTCCCGTTTACTTAGTGTTGATTTATTGAAATATCTGCGTTGACACAATATGACCAACTTGAGTTATTTTATCACTTCACTCAAAAGATTATCAGCACTCATATTATTTTATTTCTTAGATATGGAACGCCTCAAGTGCATGACGAAAAAGCATAAAAAAATAAGTATATTTCTAGGAAAGTTGCGAAATATCTTTCAAAATCTAAAAAGAAATACAATTAGAAATTACGTTTAGAAAATATAAGATTCTATATGAATCAAGGAGACGGGAGATATAATGCAATTACAATTTACTTACAATGTTTGAAGCCGCGTAAAGCCATTGAAAATATTTTCATCTATAGAGGTGATTTGATTTTCTTGCAAGTCCCTGAAAAATAACATTTTGTAAAATGTATTGCGCAACCACTTTTGTTATATATATATTCATATAGTACTCAATATTGTGTTTTACTAATTAAAGATGGAAAGCTTTGGTTATGCTATCATTGTATAAGAATGTTTGGCTGCAACTCGATTACAACCAGGACTTTTTTTGTTCCTCTTTACTTAAATGCCATGTAGTGAAATGTCTTCATTGAGAAAATAAGACCAACTAGAGCTGTTTTATCACTTTACCCAAAAGATTATCAGCACTCATATTATTAAAATTCCTAGAAATGGCTCGAAAATCAAAAAAAGATTTTCGGGTATCAATTAACTTACAATCTTTCAAGCGCCGTCAAACCATTTAATACATTAGTTCCTAGATAGGTAATCTGATTGGTTGAAATGGACATATAATTGACATTTTAAAAATATATTTCCTCATCACATTTGTTATGTTTATATAAAAAAAATCAAAGCTAATATAAAACATATAAGGAAGCTAAGGTGAGATATTACTATTAACGTGTTAATCTAGTGCATGCATATATGACAGTTACAAAAAGTGCAATGAATAGTTGCTATTCTGGTTTGCCTTCACAAAATTGCTTTGACATCATTTATGAATAAAATGAGATAAAAGATTTGAAGAGAGAGCAATCACCAACAGATTGCTGCACAAATATCTGTTTTCGGAATCAGTTTACTCACAAGTACGTCAAGTTATGATATAGATTTGCTACAATCGTCGATATTTGAAAATATTTCAATTTGAAAAATAACATTGACAAAGTATGTATAACTTCATCTAATTTGTCGTCTTCAACAAAAAACCACACGTTTAGTCAAAGCATATTAGGCAACTGAAGGTTTTCCTTCTAATATCCCAAGTCAAAGGCGATGAAGTTGATGTTAATTGAGTGCAGTCAATTAAAAGACTGAGTTAGGATTTACATGGCGGGAGATGCATGCATAGCAGAAATAAGTATAATAAAGAAACCGAATTCCAAGGCAAATTCAAAAAGCGGAAGTCCATGAAAAATGAACAAAATCAAACGCTTTGAATTAAGAAAACAAGTGAAAAACAACTGCCATTTTCATGACTTGGTACAGACATTTTCCGAAGAAAATGGTGGGTAAAATTGGTTTGAAACGCTTACTCCGTCAAAGCACCCGGTCTTGCTCCTTTTGTAGTTCTCGAAGTTACATTTCTTTTAAAAAATGTCACTTCCGGTGTTATCTGTAAGGTTATTTCACACTGGTTCTTAAAATATAAGGTTTCACTTGTAATAAGGGAGACAATCTGCAATTTCCGGTTTACATAAGTTCACATCCGGTGCCATAAGATAGCTTACTTTACACAGATTTAAAAAACAATAAACATGGTTAATATATACTTTTCTTTAAAACAAAAGGAGATAATTAGCTGCTTCCGGTTTACAAAAGGTCATTTCAGTTGTCATTTTATAAGTCACTGTATGCTGATTCAAAAAATTAATAGTGTTTGAGTTCTTTTCCCTTGAATTTGTGAAAAAAATGCTACTTCAGATTTGCACGAGGTCACTTTCGGTTAATAATTTTCAAGGTCATATGTCAGCTTCATATTTTGCAAAACACCCCATGGCTTTATCATGTTAGAGATGAAGAAATAATCAATTAGCCTAAAAAGTTCTTCCACTCAAAAGTAATAATCAATTAGCCTAAAAAGTTCTTCCACTCAACAACCTAATAAATTTACATCAGTTCTTTTGTTCCTAGCTTTTACATTTTGAATTGAGATGCACACACTAACAAAGAGAAAGATTCAGAATATGGCCTTGACCTTATTTTCCAAGTTATGACTTGAAAATCTCAAATAAAAAAAAACATTAAGTCTTTACGCTAATGGTTTGTGAGTCATGTTTTTATACCGATTAATTAAAAGAGAGGCGAAAAATACCAAAGGAATATTCAAACTCATCAATCATAAATAAATTGACAACGTCATGGCTAAAAAAGAAAAACACAAACAGACAAACAACAGTACACAAAATCCAACATAGAAAGCTAAAGACTGAGCAACACGAATCCCACCAAAAACTGGGGTTAATCTCAGTTGCTCCGAAAGGATAAGCAAATCCTGCTCCACATGTGGCACCCGTCGTGTTGCTCATGTTAGTACAAACCCAGCGATAAGTCTAATTCGGTAGGTCACATTCGGGGAAAAGGGGACGGGATTGTTGTGATGATAATTGGAAAACATCCGTTGTCATCTGTGAAACGGATATTCAATAACAGTCAACCAACTCGTGATGAATTCCGTAAAATTTACGAAGGGATGATTTCAACTTCATCACTTGGAACTCTTGGTTTAATAAATTTCTTGTGAGCGGCAACCCTCTATCAAGGAAATCATGATAGGAAATACAAGCCCTGGAATATCGTATCACCTTGGAGATGTATACTCCGTATGCAGGTGCTGCTTGAATGTTGGTACATAGAAATGGAAAGTTCACAATTGGGAAGCTGAAATCAGCTCTTTTGTCGTAAAGTTTTGTTTCAACCGACCATAATTGCAAATTTCTAGATGTAAGTCAAGATATGAGGCAGACTCTGCTAGATATGTTGTATTCTTTATATCAAGTTCGATGGGATAGATGCGTTCAACATAGTCACCAAATTTTGAATTATTTAGTGGGAGAACATCATCTATATAGCGGAAAGTGAAGTGAAAGGATACTGCTTACGTTTTTACTTTCTTCCTAGAAAGTTCTTGTATGACATATTGATTTGTAGATAACTCCTTTAAAATGTCACCAGATCGCATCTGAATGACCAAAACTTAATAAGGATATAACGAACAATTTAGAAAACGAATTTTGTCAATATCTTTTTTTGTTACAGAGGAGGTGCACACACAAGATAAAAAGTGCACGTGAAGATAGCTCTTTCAAAAACAAATTGTTTGGCTTAGCAAGGTCAAAAGCACATACACTGTACAATATAAGAAATATCTAAGAGACATATTGCGAAACAAAAATTGTACCCAAGAAAAAAAAAAGAAATGATGATAATAATAATAATTAAAAACCAACTGTTCACTGAACAATTGAAGGTCTTTCCACATGAGATTAAACTAAGTGTTTTGTTAAGAAAGATAACATAAGTATAAAAACACTAAAGCTATGACAAAACATGTCACATGGAAGCATATTTTATACTAAATTAAAAAATATATGGCTGCAAGGGACATTTCTGAGAAAATAAAGGAGATAATATGCCACTTCCGGTTTAAAGAGAGTACCTATTGGTGTAATTAGGTTGCTCACTTTTCAAAAACATAAGGTAAGCTGATTCCAAAAATATCAAGTTTAATTTTGTTTTCCTTTTATAAGTTCAAAAATGGGTACTTCTTGTTTGCACACAATCACTTCCGGTTTATTAATTAAGGTCATATATCACCCAACCCTTTGCAAAAGACCCTATGGCTTTATCATGTACCAGTTTGAAGTACATTTTGAAGTAATATTCAATCAACCTTAAATTCTAACATTTGAGAGGCAATAACTCCGATAAGATGTCATTGGTTAGTTTCAGACCAAATGTATCATATCTTCATCACATTAAAAAAAAAAAACGTTTTGCACAAGTTCTTTTATATACATCTTTAAAATTTCCAGAGGACATGCAGGAACAAGCAAAAGTCAAAATTCAATACAAGACCTTGACCTTTGACCTTTACCTCATTTTGTAAGATATGACAAAAGGACCTCCAATATAAAGACCCATGGTCTATACGGCTTACGGTTTACGAGTTACAAAAACATACAGACACATTTAATTGTAAAGGGTAGATAACTCCTATCAGATGTCTGTGGATCGCTTCTGTCCGAATCAATTGAAACTTTCTGAGAATGTTGCGAACAATTAAGAAAAAAAAAAATTGTCGAAATCTTTTTCGGTTACGAAGGAGATGTAGTAAACAGGGTGAGTTACAAAATACAATAACTGTTCAATAATATATACAAAATAAAACGCGGTATCTTGCAAAACCACAATACGGCGCAAGAAAAAACTTAAGTGGAAGAAGAAAATAAAAATAATAAATATAAACCAACTGTAAACGGTCTTTCGCCTTCGAAACATGATTAATTGAGTAACTGATTGATTGACATGACTTGAGCTGTTTTTGCTTGCTTCCATGCTTGTTTGTTTGTAAATGAGTGTCTTAACGTTTATAGCTCATTGTTCACTATACAAGGAGAATCCGTTTTATTGTAGAAATTCACTGATATTTACAGAGCTCAAAAGCGATTTCTACATCATTGAAATTTGTTCACTCTACGGAAATTCTCGGGAGGTAGATGCACAACGTTGTTGAGAGAAGATGGACGACATGTTTACCCTGCTGAATTTGAGGTCAATTGGACGTGTAGTTTCAGAGCTGTTAGGATAACTTGCATTTGATCCATGTTTTCCGAGAAGAAATGTCATAACGATTTTAAAAACCAATGGTTCAGAGAAAAATTGAGGATCTTCCCCCATTAAATTTTAAAACAATTGATAAAAAGCTTCTTCCTGTTTACTCAAAGTTAATATTGGCGTCCAATCATAGGTTTCTTCATGCTGATTCAAAACAAATATATGGTTTGTATATACTTTTATCTGAAATAAGGGAGATAATTTGCTACTTCGGTTTCGAAAAGGTCACTTTCGGTCTCATATGATAGCTTTATTCACATAGATTCCAAAAATATATGGATTCTATATACTTTTGCCTGAAATGAGGGAGATAATTTCTAACTTCCGGCTTAAAAATGTCACTTCTGGTCTCATATGATAGCAGCATTTACGCTGTTTACAAAACTAAATGATTTCTATATACTTTTGCCTGTAATAAGGAAGAAATGTATTTACTTCCGGTCTCAAATGATAGGTTGAGGTCTACCTATCAAACAAATATATGGTATATAGGTCCTTTTCCAAAACAAGAAAGGCAAACTTGGAAATGTCCGGCTTATTCAA